ACAAACAAGGCCACACCAGTTTGGAGTTATGATTAATAGGGTGTTATTTATTTAAAGGGGAAAACTTACAGATCACCGTCCCAGACAACAGCCACCTGCACAACCAGGAAGGGAGTCTAGTCTCCGGTGGAGCAGGAAGTGAAGAGAGCGAGCAGAGGAAATAGCCGCTTTTTTAAAGGGAGAGAGACCACGCCCCAATGGGCTGGTATCACAGCAGCTATTGGTTGGAGGGGCGGAAGGACCTCCCGCAACAGAGTAGACCAGGGTGACCTTCATCATCTGGGTTTGTCCTTTGTGAGTCTCAGCAAGGTTTTGCCTTATGACCAGTTCCGATTAGCCACAAAAGTAAAGCCTCAGATCCCATGGTGCTGGGTACTGCGTGAGAATCAATCAAATCTGGGCATGTACCAATTACACAGGGAGAAATGGCTCCCTTTAGAAGAGACTATTCTTCTAGCTTGATAGTTAACAAAGTTAAAGCCACAGACATTTCCTGGGCTTAGGTCTGGGGATAAGATGAGGAATAAGACAAATATTGTCCCTGCTTCTGAGGAGATTGGATGTAGACTGTACCTGCTTCTCTTGAGACAGTCACCAAACAAAAAAAAAACAATGCAAATAATTCATCACATTTGTGGTAAACACACACACACACCAACACTTCTATGGTTAATGCCTATGTACATAATTGAGTTATTGTATAGGGATGTGGCCTGGGCCTGGATAAAGGAAGGAAGGGGTGGTGGGAATTAGGGAGGATATTCCTAAGGAAACACCCATCATGCCTATTGGCTGTCATGCTGACACTGGTGCCCTTGGTTACCATTAGTGAAGATACACAGGGTAAAAGCACTCACTGTGACTCTTACATAGAAGCAGCCCAGCTGGTAGAGTTTTTGCCCAGCATGTATAAAGCCCCAGGTTTTATCCTCAGCACCAGAGATGGAGACAGCAGGCTCAGGAGTTTAAGGTCATCCTTACATACACAGTGAGTTTAAGGCTAGCCTGAACTACGTGACACATTTCTCTTCACCCTCGTCTTCCTCTTTTTCTTCCTCTTTCTTTTTCAAAGAAGAGGTTAAAAAAATAAAAAAATGAAAGTGTAGACAAGGCAGGGGTTCTTAAATTTTTTTTAACTTGTCACCAAGTCTCAGTATCCAAAAAAAGGATATTACACAGTTAAAGGAACAAAAAGAAACATAGTAAGAGAAGTTCCAGAGTAAAGCCTCCATCTGTCAATTTCTGCTTGTCTACTCCCTTCTTGCCTCACTCAGACCCTTGGTTCCCCCCTGAACAGTTTCACACAAAGAGCCCTTCCATATTACTGATACATGGTTTCTAGACATCTAACAGTAAAAACATTTTTGTGTTGCCTCAGACATGTGCTCCATCCATTTCTTCATAACACCAATAACTACGTTGTTCAACTTACTAGTCCAGACCCCAGAAATTACAAGTAACCTAAGAGGGAGCGCTGTGTAGATAGAATATGCCAGATCTCCTCCATGTCAAGTACTAGTGGTGGACAAGAGATGAGGCAGTGTACAGTGGTGGACCGTAGTGATGCGCGATTCAGGCAGGAATGCCAGGGAAGCATTCTTTGTTGAGATGATGTTTTAAGTGAACTTTGGCTGGAGTTTTAGTCAGATAATGAACTTCACTTGTCTGAAGCAGGTTCCATTCTTTCTGCATTTCCTTTCTGAGTCGATAGATGAAATATTTCTGTTAACCTAGAGGGTGTTTAAAAAGAAAAGAGTGGAAAAAGTGAAGAAAAGCAAAGGGTAATCTTGCTCATATGTGCTTGCCTTTCCTGAGAATAATTCTAGGTTTTGGACTATGACAGCAAGAAGTTCATATGTCTATGAATTACAATGTGCTTCTCTTTCACGGGAGACTCACTTACCTGCCACGAAGGATTTTCACTTACAAAGTTAGAGTGCAAAGGACTCCAAAAGAGAAAAATTATTTATTATTCTAATAAAAAAATCACTTTAAAAACTAAATACCAAGAAGTAACACGGGCAATTTCCCATGTTGTCATGACAGTGATTCTCTTTGTCTTCTAGGTCCTGCTACTGATTGACATTCAAGTCTCTTACATTAACACCAACCATGAAGACTTCATCGGCTTTGCAAAGTAAGTGAGACAACCGATTGTTGTATGCATTCCTACTGCTGCTTTATAAACACATACATTATTTATTTCCACACCAGCTCTATTGCCTTTGGACAGGACAGTTTGTACCAGGATGATTCTGAGCCCACCTATCTATATAGTCATGAAGCAGGGAAATTTACTATTCTCTTGATAAAGATGGTAATTGGGCTTCTTCTGCAGTATACAAAGTCATGTGTCTTTAATACTCATTATATTTTTGGAAGGTGACCTTCAGTTTGTACTTGAACTCCCATAGAAGAGCAAAAATAATTGCATATTAAAATTCAAGGTAATATTCTTTCTTCAGTTATTTTGAAACATCAAATCCAATCCCAGGTGGTTGTGGTGGTTCACATTTGTAGTCAAGCGTTTGGGAGGCAAAGTCAGGAAGGTTGTTCTGCATTGAATTCTAGCCAGCTTGAGATGCAGAGTGAGAGTGTGTCTCAAAAATCAATAAATAAAGACATATAAATAAAGCTCAAATAAACAACTCATAAGATCCAAAGTATTAAGCTGTTTAGACTTCCCTACACCAGAGGCCTTAAGACAACAGCAACAACAACATCCTTTCAAACTTAGATGTGGTTTGTTGAGATGATCATATTCCTTTTTATAGAAGGTATATGATTTACATACATTTGTCTATATTGCTATTCTTCACAGGTCATGTATACAAATAGTTATTCATTATGTTACATTTTATTCTGAGTTCACTATTTTTTCTTGCTTGTTAATGGTACTAATATTTGTTACATTTGAAGAATCACGATTCTAGTTCTAAAATGGCAAGCAAGTAGTTACAATCTAAAGAGAACAAAATAGTGCCTATTTTATATTAGACATAAAATAGAAGCGGTTATGCGTTTTTACTTGGACCGTATGTTCAAGAACAGGGACAAGGAAAATAAGACACAGCAAAATATCAACCCAATTTATTTTATTATACCCAGACTTGGAAGAAATATACACAGACCATATGATCTAAACTAAATAGTGGCCCAGGAGATTTATAGGCATGTGTTAGGCAGGAGAATGTCTGTTACCCAAAGAAAACCATCACATCTGATTGAGACTGTAGCTTTCATGGCTGACATATTGGTATCAGTCTAGTTTTCATCAGGTGACTCTTATTGTTGAGAGGTGCGCTAGTGTTTCCTGGCCATTCCCATCAGTGTGCTAGGGTTAACTTCTCAGAGCTCTGAGATAAACATGTTTCTTTTTTATTTTTATATTTATTTATTTATTTTTTAGAGACAGGGTTTCTCTGTAGCTTTGGTGCCTGTCCCAGAACTAGCTCTTGTAGACCAGGCTGGCCTCGAACTCCCAGAGATCCGCTTGCCTCTGCCTCCCGAGTGCTGGGATTAAAGGCCTGCACCACTACCACCCGGCACTAAACATGTTTCTTTGCCCAATTGACCTTTCAGCTATTCTGACCACTCCTCCCTCCAGATAGGCATCTGATTTATGATCCTTTCCTGTAAACCCGTCCTCTCCCTCTTGCTTCCATGCCCCTCTCCGTTTTCTGCTCATTTTGTTCTGCAAAATCACTTAACGTCCAACGTACATCTCTTCCTTCTTGGTCTAGAAAGATCTCTGAGAATTTCTTACAGCTCTTCTTATAGTCAGTGAACACCAGGCAATTCTATTCTAGTTCCTCTAGAGGAGAAATAAAGACAAAGGAACTATGATCTGCCTTTCAGAAGGTTGTCTAGGCAGCGACAGGTATGTAAGACCTTAACATAACAAGTTCTTCCTTTGTCTCACTGGCTTCTCTGAGGAGTTTAAAAGATGAGCTTTTCTTTCCATCATAGAAGTAACCTGACTGCTACCTGCAAAGTTGATTGTTGTGATGGGCAAATGCCAATTAGAGTCTTAGAAACACCTGACAGCTGTGCACAGAAGCTAGATGAAGTGTGTCAAAAGTGAAAGCGATGCTACTCTCTGCCACCTCAAGTCACACCCGAGTCAGGAGATGGAGCAGCGAAAGCCCAGTGCCTTTAGGAAGGATTCGAGACTTAAATGTATCACAAAGACATTGCTACAATTTACATTTTACTGAGCACACTATTTTGTTCCTGAGACAGGATTTCATGTACAAGCAGGCTAGCCTTTAACTCTTTATGTAGCCAAGGATAGCCTCGACTCTTGATCTTTCTGCCTCTTCTTCATCAGTGCTGTATAGAGGTGTGGGAAACACTACTCAGCTAATTCCTTTGTCCCAGATCAGTATCTACCTGTCTCCTCTCTCTGTCTTTCTGCTTGTCTGTCTGTCTATTTATCTTTCTCTGTTCTTTTATTTTCTTTCTTTTGATAGGCTAGAGTTTATTTCTTTTTTCAATAGATTTCAGATTTTTTTTTTTTTTGCCTCAGAGGCTGTAGGGCTATACTATTATATTGATTTTTAGGTTTTCAAAGAAAAATTTCAAATGTAGAACCTTTAGACATGGCCTTTGATGCAATCTCTCTCTGGTATAAGAGACAGCTCCTGTTTTTCAGAGAGATGGCCTTTATTGTGTTGAGGGGAAAGAAGAAGAGCCATTAAAACTTTTCTAGAAGATTGGAAGTATTTCCTCCCCCAAACTTGCTTTTAAAGAACTGGTCTGGGAGCCAGCAGTTGACTCTTTTTTGTTTGTTTGTTTACTGGTCTAACAAACAGAACAAGGACTAATCCCTGTCTTATGTTCCCCTGAGAAGGTAAATCAATGAAGTTAAAAACTAGTTGGGAAAGTGTTATAAAATTATGGTATAGTCTGTTAGGGTTAGTCTCTCTCCCCTCAGTCTCTCTCTCTCTCTCTCTCTCTTGTTGTGTGCCTGTGTGGGTATGTAGTTCATGTGCCCATGCACATATATGTAAGGCCAGAGGAGGTTGTCTATCATTCTGTGTCTTACTCCTTTTAAGACAGGGTCTCTGAACTTTAAGCCCACCATTTCTGGTAGACTGGTGACCACTGAGTTCCGGGGAGCCATCTGTTGTCAACTCCCAATGCTGAGGTTACCAGCTCTACAGCCTTGAGTAGTTTTTTGAGTGGGGACTGAGGATTTGAACTGAAGTTCTCATGCTTGCACAGCAAACTTCTTACCCACTGAACTGTCTCCCTTGCCCCTACTGTTACTTTGTCTTAAAATTTATCATAACTTATGTATGATTATATCTAGAATATTTTTAGCTGTTAATTTCATTATCCCAAAGACAATACTTAATTTTCCATTAATATGTATTAACTGTCCATATTAATGGTTCTCAGCATGCTCTTCCAATATATGCTTACAGCGTGCATTGATCAAATGTAGCCTCTGCTTATTCTGCCCCTCAGTTTCTAGTAATCCCATCAAAGATAATGTTTTGCACTAAGAATCAAAGGTAAATGTTTTTTCCATTTGTATGCTGAGTACATTTTCGTGTGACGTGGGGTAACTATGAAGATGAAGAAATGTTCATTTCAAAATCACTTTGAAGGGTTGTGGTATTTTCTGTGCTTTTAAAAATTAAAAAAATATGGTTGTAGCTATAAATTTTAAAGTTGGCAGGCACGCTGTTTCCATCAAGGAAGAAAGTCAAGCCATATTTGAAGACAATTATGTAAGTATTTCTTAGTTCCAAAGATAGAAAATGAAGGTCGAGCATTGAAGCAAAGAGGCCCCTGGTTCATAAGAATTTTAGCAACTTTTCACACTAATGTACCAGCTCTCAGGTTTGTGGGATGGTGAGGTATGTAGGTGCATGGAATGGTGTTTGCAATGGAGCTGATTTTTTTCCCCTAAAATTTTGTGGGTTTTTTGTTTGTTTGTTTTTTTAACAGAAAAATGATAGAATTAGATGATCAGAATCTATTTTTAGGGTACCATTCAGGACATCCCAGGGTTCTTTCTGCTGTAGAATTTCTCTACTGAGTCTGAGGGGCTTCCTTTAAACCTCACAGCTGTGTGTCCAACACGGACCATAAAATATGTGCCATGTGCAATAAGCCTCAGTAAGTTCTGCTGAAGGCTGGCTTTGGTATTTCCTGGCTTCTAAAAGCTTGGTATTTCAACTATAACAATATCATTTCTCAACCTACAAGATCAGCATTTCAGATGAAAATATCAACTTTCCTCATGACTTCAGAGATTTAATTTGTCCTTGTTGAAAAAACTTCCCTAGATTATATTTTCTTAGGTAACCTACGCAGTCTTTGCTATTTGAGAAAATAAGAACAGGGCCAGCTGCTCATTAGTTCGTGTTCCTGTATTCTCCCCAGTCACGCTGTTGGAACGTAAGGGCAAGCGCCTTTGCTGAGTGTCTTGAGAAGTGAAAGTTCAAGTTTTCGTGCCCTCCCGCATTCGCTCTTAGACATAAATTGCCTCCCAAGTCCCTGAGATTTATGCAGTTAGTGGTTTAAGAGAAATAAGGCTCCAGACGTGGTCAGTTAAAGACACATCCCCACTGTAAGCATCAGACCCCGAGGTCAGTGTACTTTCTCGTCTGCTGAGGAGATCCGAACACCTGTTTTCTCACACTTGAAACGATACAGTGAGCTTATTTCAGATCTTGTTATGTGAGTACCATGAAAGTGCCGGGGTTGTGACACTTGCTGTGTCCCTTTCCTGATCCCATGGAATGCCTCTGTTGCCATTTATCAAAGGCAGGGAGTTAAACCTTCCACTAAATACCAGAGCCAGCAGGGCAAGCAAAGCCCTTTCTTTACGTTCTTTTTTTTATGTTTCCCCATAACAAAATTAAGTTCTAGAGTAATGATGTTCCTTGTTCTCACTCTTTACACAAGGAGTCCTCTCTCTTGTGCAGCCAAAACTTGGCTATTAGAGTACAACAGATTTTTTTGGGGGGTGGGACTCACATGCAGGTTGAGTAATAAAGTGTTTGAATGTTTGCTCACTGACTGGGGTAGTTATCTGGTAGGACTCTTAAGTTTGGGCAACTTGGAAAGCAAGCAAAGTATCACTTTAGCATAAAGAACGCTGAGAGTGGGAAAAATGGTCTT